TGTCAGATTTTTTTAGTTTATTTATATAGTTTATTTTTATTTTTTAAAATAATATTTATACTTCCTTTTCAGCTCGATAACAAAATAAAAAGAGATTCTCTTATATTCGTCATATTTTTTTAATTGTTAATATGTATATTTTTTAATTTTTATGTGATTTTATTTAAATTTAACAAATAAAAAATTAAATTTATCAGATGTTAATGTACCGAAAAAGATCTCTAAAATAAAACATAATTGATGTTTTTCTATTATTATTATTCTTTATTTTTTTTACAATTGCGCCTCAAAAGAAAAAGGTGGACTAGCTAGGGGAGTTTAGAAATTTGGAATGAGAATTTTATTTCTTAACTTAGCAACTCCAATCATACTAATCATTTCATATTTTTAGTTAAAATAGTTAATAATTTAATGTTTTTTTTTAAGTTTTCTCTACGCCAACCATTAGCTAAATAGTTAGCCATTTTGACTAAAACATTTTTCACTAGCTAAGAGGAACTTCAACCATACTAGACATTTCACATTTTTAGTAAAAATAACTAATGATTTAGCTTTTTTTAAAAACTTTTCTCCATTCTAACATTAACTAAATGGTTAAGCTATTTTGGCTAAAATATTTTTCACTAGCTAAATATAACTAGCAAGAAGTGACTAACTATTTATTATTTTTATTATTTTATTCTTTGTTTTGACATAAAGTAAAAGTAAAAAAAAACTATTTATATTTTAAACTCAAAAAATATTAAAATAATTTATGTTTAGCTAAAGTAGAGAGTATGATTGGAGCAACTCACTAAAAAATTATTAATTAAAATATTTTTTTAGCCATTTTAACTAGATTTTAATTAAAATTTAGAGAGTTCACTTGGAAATGCTCTTAATCTATTTATCTGTGAGGACTCACATTAAATGGGATGATAAAAATTCATTTTAAATAGATTCAGATTATAAACGAGTTAAAATTTAACCCATCACGAGTCACCGGACAAGGACGGATTTAGAGGTCCCCAACCTTATTCTCCGCTTATTTGTCCCGTTTAATTACATTCTATATTTATATTAGATATATTATATATTATAATTTTAAGTATAATCTATTACATAATATATATGAAAATTTAAAACTATCTTTCTAATGTTTTGTATGTTTGTATTGTTTATTTATTTATTTATTTTAAAATATAAAATAATTAATCGGGTAAATGAGACACTACAAATACTCAAACTCGTGACCGGAAAATTCGTCTCGTCACCCATCAATCTATGCAGATTTATGAAGCGAGTATGGTTAGGGCGGGCAACGGAACAGATTTGGGGTGTGGTGGTCTTCTCACCAACCCACCCTGTGAATAAAAACACTCACCATACCTGCCACATGAACCTGCATAAGTTGACGAGTTACGAGGCAGATTTTCCCGTCACAGATTCGAAATATTCACGATACTCTATTTACCCGATTATTTATTTTCATTGTAAAATAAATAAATAATTAATTAAACAATATAAACATATAAAACATTAAGTAAAAAAAAAAAGAAAGATATTTTTAAATTTTCATAGATTATACTTCAAATTATATATTATAACATATTATACATAATACATCTAATTTAATAATATAATATAATTAAACGGGGCAGGTAAACAAGGAATAGGGTCGAGGACTTCTAAACATGTATCGCTCTTGCGATACGCAATGGATTAAAAATTTAACCCGTTTATAATCTGAATTCGTTTAAAGCGGATTTTTTCTGCCGTGCTTAATGCGGATCCCTATAGATAAATAGATTTGCGGTTAAATTTGCCATCTCTAAATATGGTGAGTATTTATTTATTTTTTTTACAGAACGGGTCGATGAGAATATTACTCCCTCTCAAATCTGTCATGTTGTCATCACTTATAAAAATGATAAGAGCTTGTTTATTTTATGCGTTTAAATTTATAATTTTAATTTTATTATAATATTTTTTTATAAAAAATATAAATTTTAAAAATTAAAATTAAGAATCACAGATTTAAACTCATAAACCAAACGGGTCTTTAATAATTATCAAAATGTAATGTTCAATATCGCTCGGAGGGAGAGATATTTGGAATTTATAGAAAAATTTGATGATCATTACTAATTTACTACTGGTTTTTTAAAAATTTAAAAATTAAAATAAAAAATTATTAATTTAAATGTACGAACGAAACGAAACGGGGCCGCAATAATAACTCCGGACATGAATCATTTGTAATTAATAAAAAAAAAAAAACATTAATTTTCTGGCATGCTCTCAGAAAAAAAGAAAGAAAAAAAAAAGAAAAAGAAAAACCTGGCATGCAAATTAGGGAGACAGGCGATTATCGACGCGTGTACAAACAATCTTCATTGCACCACTATCATTCCACACTTGGCACCACCCTCACTTTCTCTCGCTCCAACTTCCATAAAAGGCCATCGAACCATGCAAACTCTCTCTCCCGAACCCCAAAGCAGAAATAAAAAAATAAAAAATAAAATGTACAAGTATTTTGCACATTTAACATAAATTTTCAAGATTTTGACAATCTCGTAAAAGTTAAATGAAACTTTCTTTATAGTGGAGTAATATATTTTATTTTATTAGTAAAGTAAATATTTTTCTCATCAGATTATTTTTTTAATAATTAAATATATAAAAAAAGTAATTATGTGTAATGTGATGTAAATTTTTAATATAAATTTAATTATTAAAAAATTAATTTAACAGTTTAAAATACTTGTCTTATAAAGTAAAATAACTTGTTCAACTGTAAAAATTCCTCAATAAATGAACAAAACGTATACTATGTGTGATCTATTAAATTAAATTAACACTTTATAAAGATAAAAAGCCAAAAATAAAAAAACTAAAAAATATTTATAATTTTTTTAATATGCATGTTTAGACTGTTTATAAAATTTTCAAATAGGATTGAAGCCTTTTTAGAACGTTTTCCTTCAGTTTAAACTGTCAGAAAACAGTTATAATGTGAAACTTAACCGGGAGTCTAACAACTCTGGTGACTGGTCGACTCCGATGGTTTCAGCCAAACTGTGCACAAGCCTATATTTTACTACTTAACTTATAAAACTATTGCAATGTATCTTTATCAATTTTGCTATGATTTCTTTTGTTCGTTAAATTTAAGGAGTCGAGAGTTTAAAAATTGAGTTTTTTGTTATGTTTTAAATTGGCATTAAATGTGATTTTTAGTTATTAATTTAATGTAATCATTATCAACCAAAGGCATATTAAAACAATTTGACAAATTGCCAAATTAAAAACTTATTGACAAATTATCAAAACACTACAAATTCAATAAATAAATGTATAAAATACTGTTTAGATAAAAAAACCAAAAACAAAATCATGATAGGACATGCATTTTGTTCTACCCGTAAAAATTATATTTTACTCGTTGGATTAGTATTTTAATGATTTGATATGGAGTTTAAGCAAGTTTATGACACAGATTATAAATTTTTAAGGTGGATATGCATAGATTTAAAGATTATTTTCATAAATACCTTCTAAATTATATACTATATTTTAAAGTGTCCCATAACTATTTAAAATAGCTCTAAAATATAAAAAAAAAACGTTTTAAAATACTTCATCCGTCCATTTACATTTATAATTGTAACTGATATGCTTATGTGGCAAGTCAATAAAGATTATACAAATACAATAAATTTTAATTAAATTCATTAAATACTAAGAATAATAAAAAAAGAATTAATGACCTCTTTAATTCGTTAATTTAAATTAAAATTAAATTTTTTTTATTATAATAAAAAAAACTTTTTATTATTCTAAATTTAAATGAGTAAAACCCTGAAAAACTTTGTTTTAAAAATAATTAAAAACCCAAAAAACCAAGTCCTCTTCCTCTTGCTTACCCGCAGACCCAACGAAGAAAACCCTCAGCTCCCAAAGCCAAACACCTCAACCTTACAGCCGTTGAAGTGTCGTGCCCCCCATACCCCGCCGCACCGGAGAGCCGAGCCAACAATCCACCGCCCGCGTCTCCTCTCGCAAACCCAACCAAGCCGTTTCCAAATTGCTTCGAACCATCGTCCAACCTGGGTTTCGGTGGAGGATCGGAAGTCGCTGGCTGTGGCAGCGAAGAAGAGGATCACGATTAAGCTAATGGGAAAAGGCGGAGAAGCCAACGGTCGCGAGAGGAAGAAGATAATCGAGCCGAAGCTTGAGGGAGGTTCTCTTTTTTCGCGATTGTGGAGAGGGTGAGGAGGATAGTCTGATATGCTCACGGCGGAGGTCCGATGTCGCATGGTCATCGGCAAGCGGAGGAGATACTGCTTGGGATGGAATCAGACTGTCGGAAGTGGCTGGGAATATGATGGGGCGGCTGGTATAGCGTTATTCTTTTTCCAATTTCCAAATAAATTTAAATGGAAGGCTCAGATTAGATGCACTTAGATCGATGGTTGAAATTCAATGGCTGTTAATTTTTTATCAGTATTATATATTATTAAAAATTAACACTCATTTTTTTTAACCCTTAATAGTGCGCCATTTTATCAATTTCATTATAATGATAAGCAGAGGAGGCGTAAAAATGACTCAATTAAAAAGTTTTATTAGTAAAATAATTTTTTAAAATTTTGTATTTATAAAATAATTAAAAATAATTAAAAATGATCACTTTTTATAAAAAAAATAATTAGTCATTTTTTATAAAAAATAAAGAAGGTTATTTTATTAATTTTATTTTGTTAGATAGTTGTTTTAACAAATTATTCTGACAAATTTTTCTAAACGGAGAGAACATTTTAAAACATTTTTTATATTTTAAAGGGTGCTTGTAAAAAAATAAAAAAACATTTTAAAATAAAATACATAATGTATGTGAGAATATTTATAAAAATAATCTTAAATTTAATTGTTAAAAATTAACTCAACGACTACCATAAAGGTTCTCTATAAAATACTGTAAATACACAATAAAAATTCTAAGAAGGAAAATAAATAATAAAAAATAATTACCTTTTTCCCATCTCTCTCTCTCTCTCTCTCTCACATTCCATACTGAGCCACAGTGAGACCGCTTTTCCAGCTTCCATTTTCCATACCCCTTCTTCTTCCTCCTCTTCTATATAAACAACAACCAAACAATCCCCAAACATTCCCACAACCTTTCCCTTCAACATTTTTCCTCTCTCTGTCTCTCTCTCTCACATCCGTTCCTCTTTCTCTCTCTAAATCTCTAAAATGGCATCAGCATCAGCAGTGAAGATCGCTCTGTTCCTGTGCTTGTCGGCATTAGTACTTGCGAACCACGCGCAGGGAGCGTCACACCACGCGCCGGCGCCGGCGGTGGACTGCTCGAACCTGATACTGAACATGGCGGACTGCCTGTCGTTCGTGTCGAACGGGAGCACGGTGACGACGCCGGAGGGAACTTGCTGCAATGGGCTGAAGACGGTGCTGAAGGCCGACGCCAACTGCCTTTGCGAGGCCTTCAAGAGCAGCGCTCAACTCGGCGTCGTTTTGAATGTCACCAAGGCCATGACTCTCCCCACCGCTTGCAAAGTCTCCGCTCCCTCCGCCGCCAACTGTGGATGTCGGTTCTCTCTCTCTCTCTCTGTTTTCTTTTTTTTTGTTGTCCTCTTTATTGTGAGAGAAAGGTTTTCTTTTTCTGCTTTTTTTCCCCTTAAAAAGAGGGGAACGTTTTTTTTTTTTTTTTTTTTTTTTTTTTTTTTTTTTTTTTTTTTTGAATTTTTCTGCTTTTTTTTCTTTTAACGAGAGAGGATTTTTTTTTTCCTCACTGATTTTTTAAGCTAACTTTTCAGTTATATGCTAAATGGACAAAAAAAAAAAAGGACAAAACATGCTTTGAATTTTTGTTTCACTTTTTCTAATTTTGTTTGGCGGAATGGCGAAAGCTTACTTAAATCTTACATGTTTGCTTCTGCTTGTGGGTCTTGGATTGCGTTATGCTTTCTTTTCTCTTTTTTTTTTTTTTTTTGGAAGCATTTTTGAAAAATTAAAATGAAGATTATCCTATTTTTCTTCTCCTTTTTTCTATTTTCCTTGTACTGGAAATAACTTTAGCTAGCTCCTATTTTGGGCGGTCCTGATTTTAGTATATCATCATCATCATTAACGTGCTCCTAATTTCTTTTTTAATTTTTTTGTGACTTTTGTTGTTTTGCAGTATCGATCACCCCATCTGGTGCTCCTGGTATGTTCTACTCCTAATCTCAATGGATTTTGCTCTCTCTTTTTTTTTTTTTTTCATTTTTGGCATTATATTATTTTTCGCTGCATATTTTAGATTAAGGGACGAAAGACTCGTCAGATCTGCTTGAGATATGCTTATTTTGGGCTTTCCTCCGATTTATATATGTTTAGTATAACTAGCTCCGACGCAAAATCCTTGTTCTTTGATATGTCTTACAAGTACAGCTTCGTTTTGACATGTTTAAGGTTGATCTTGTTCTTAACGTTTGTCTTGTAACTTTTACTGAATTCTCTTGCATTTGCATTTGCATTTGGGTCTAGTGTCCAACAATATGCTTCTGAGTTTTCATTAACCGATTTTTTTGAATGACCAAAAAAAGAAAAAGATTGCTCTGAAAAAAAAAATTGTCTACTGTTGTCTCTTTAGGATTTTAATTTTTTCTTGGAAGTCTACCAAAAATGTTTTGTTGAATTTTTTATTTTTTATTTTTTGGTTAACTTGAAGGAAACAATGGCCGGAAATTAAGGGCTTTTTTTACTACATATCTGGTGCCATGCCAGTTATCAATTATTTTTTATGATCAAGAATAGAATATTTGTTCTACTGAGGAAATGAAGAGTAGAATAGTTGACCTTTGATCAATCGAATAAAAAATAAAATAAAATTTGGGTGAAATCAAATGCTGATAAACTGATGAATTTTGTTGCCTTATTAAGATATTTTCCTTCACGGATATTCCCCTCATATATATATATATATATATATATTTTTTTTTTTTTTTTGGGGGTCTTCCTCAAAAGTCTGGTCCTTTTGGACGTTTTGTTTGGTATGTTGTTTTTTCACAGCTCAATTGGTACACTAACTTGACCTAATGGATTATGTTTCTATCTTTACTTGCATAGATAAAAAGCCAGATTAGATTTTACCACTTTAATTGGTTTCTTCCATTTAAGTTCGACAACCTTAAGTTCTTCTATGTCTTGTTCAATTCATTTTCTATCAAAGTCGGTGAGCTTGAATTCTCTTATTACATGATTGCAGCTCTCTCACCAACAGAATCTGCTCCAGCATCTACAGCCGTGGCACCTGCGTCGGGTATCGGTGCCATTAATGAGCAAGCTCCGGCATCTGCTCCCGGCGGCCAATCTGGTTCATCTGTGCTCACCATTTCCGTCAAATCCCTTCTTGTTGGCCTTGTTGTTGCATCCCTCTCTTGCTTTTGAGCTTTTCAGTTTTGAGTCTCCTTTTGAGATCAATAGGCTACTGAGGGAATCATTGTTATTTCATTTTGATATTAACCATTTGGGGTTGTTCTCTTACATTTAGTTCTTTTCCTTGTGGATGGGGTGACTATAGTAGAAACTAAACATTCATTTTGTGGCTTGGAACCAGTAGTGTTCTGGATATCTTTTGCTAATGTATTAAATTGATCATTTCCTATAAATTTTGTTCTATCTTGTCAACTAAAATGTCCAACGTTTTTTTTTTTTCACAAAAGCCTAAACGCACTAGAATAAGAATGCTTGTCCTAAATACTCGTGTCGTTTTCCAAATAATCAAATATGCTCCTTCGGGCCTCACTTACTAGAACACTTATCCTATGCAAATTTCTCACTCAAAATTTTATTAGGGAATATTAATGAAAAATAAAACTATAAAGAAACATCAGAGTCAAGAAAATATCCCAGTAGAAAGGTCTAAAACGACTAGAAAATGACCAAAACGTTTACCTATTAAAATGCTTTTCCATTGATTGAAAATCAATGCTGTGTTGTTGAATAATCTTGAAATACATCTAACATGGTAAAAAAATTGAAAGAATGAACCGAATGTCCAAATTTTTTTTTTCCTTCCCTTATCAAGACATTACCAACTCCAAAAGAGTCATTTTGTACCATTATTTTAATTTTCACATACTAAAGCTTGACATCTGGCATTTTTGTCCACATAACTAAGTGACATCGAATACGGTCTCGTTCATTTTACCGATTTGAGTTTTCAATTCCAGTTTTGCTACAGTTAAAAGCTCTCATAAAAAGTCACTTTTAATTTTTTTTTTTTGCTACAGTTAAAAAGTCTCATATAAAGTCACATCTCAACTCAAATTAAAAACTCAAATTAATGAAATGAACGAGGCCGTTAAAATTTCAAACTACAAGAAGAACGGATTACACAAATGAAAGTTTAAGTTTAGGGGGCAGATGGATATATGTGCTAAAAAGTCTGGGGAACTTTTTAAAATTTATCCTTCTTTGTTATAACAAATTCCCAAAAATTTTGCATCTATTTTCTTTTCAAATTCAACTTCCCTATTTGGAGTTTGGAGAAATCATTCCATACCAGTCATTTGGGATTTGGGAGTAATGTATGTTTTAAATTTTCCATGCAGGACTCTCATAGCGCGGGCTATTTTCTGTTCTTCTGTATTTGTTAGATAGCGATTAATGCATTTTGACCGACCATAATAGAATTGAAACCTTATCTCTCGTACTTATTATATTTAAATTTCCATCATTATTAGGTAAAAAAGGTGTTAATGTTAGGAGAATTATGATAGGACTTTATTTAAACCGTTAAATATGTATTAAAATTATATTAATTTTATATACTTTTCATTTTAATGTGATTTTGAAAAGATTTAAACTTCATCCACCAATTATTTAGGAAAAAAAAAGATTTTGATACCACTGTGTATATTGCTCAGACTAATATATGAGAGATTTGAATTGAGTGATAAATATTGACTAAATAAGTAATGATCACCAACAAGCTAACATGGAAAATAGTCCCTATAGAAGAGAGTTAATACGGAGGAAACTGAAAAAAACAGCTATATATTACTTTGCTGGTGTATTACTACCTTGCTATGTAAGGAATTACAGCACATATTCCAATACCTTGTCCTAAACTAGCCCGTTTAGTTTATGAATTAGAACCATGAGATTAGAATTATTTTTGATTTACGTGTGTTTTTTATGAGAGAAAATACTATAGCGAACTATGAACTATGATTCGAATCAGAAAACGAATCCTCCAACCAAATGAAATTGTCTGGTTTTGTTTTGAGGTCTCGAGGGAGGGTGACTCTATGATGAATCTTGAAAAGGTTAATGAAGCATTATGGACAAATTGTCATTCCAGGTAATTTTTATGACTAAAATAATTTGAAACATTGTGTCCGTTTTGTTCGCTAATTTAAATTTTATTAGTTTGAACTTTTTAATTTGAACAGAAAAATTATGTGGTTTAAATTGTAGTTTGAACTGACATTTCGATGTATAGTTAAAGTTTTAATTTGAATAAGAAATAAATTAGAATTTGTGTTTAGTAGGTGTGAAAAATAGAGAAAATGAACATTTTTTAATGTTCAAAAATGATTTAAACGGTTGAACTTAAAGAGGGAGTCAAACTCTAAATTGAGCTGTTAAACTGAATTTAAATAATTTTAACTGTACACTTATTAAACGTCATTTTAAATTGTGATCAGTGTTCAAATTAAATTAAATTGAATTAAATTAGTAAAACAAACGTAATCACATTTGAGAAAATTATTTGGCCTTGCAAAAAGATTTGTGAAGGTTGATTATATATATATATATATTTGTATTCCTCTTTTTTCTTTTGTGTTCTTTTTGGGGTGGGAAAAAAGAGGATAATCATGCCTTGTGATGTCCATTATTATTTATTTGATGTATGACTGTATTTACAGAGTGAACTTCATCGATTAGCTGCTGTGCAATGGTCTATTTGTCAAGATTCCGTTAGAAGTATTCATACATCTTTTAGTAACTTTCGTGGGACTGTTTTTGGTAGCGTCTTACTCATGGGATTAATCTGTTAGATATAATTAAAATTAAATAAGATTAAAAAATATGTAGAATAAATAATTTTTAATGTAAATGCCTAAAAAAAAAAGAATTACCGTTAATTCTATTTTCTGATCCTACGAAAAAAAAACTCTCAACTTTCGTCTGCTTTCTAATGCTTGTGAAACTTGTACCTGAATCTTCAAAAATTAGTCCACTTTCACATTGATTAACGCTTGAGAAGTAATTTTGTCACTAATGAACAATATTAAGGCATTTTTATCTTATTAGACGTTTGGTTCATTGATTAAAATTATAAGATTATAACCATTTTTAATTTACGTGTATTTTTTATGAGAGAAAATACTGTAGAAAATCATGAATCATGATTCGAATCGGGTTACGAATTCCCAACCAAAACCTTACTTTAAAACTATGGGATGATTGGGCATGTTATTCATCACCAAAACCTTGATTTAGGCATGGAATCCTGATAGGAGGATTACTTATAGTGCTAAGAATACTCATGTTGGATAAAACTTTTTTTTTTTTTTTTGGTTTGATGTGGCTCATCATTAATAGTGATAGGGAAGTCTAAAAAACTTTGATTGCAATGCCTAAGGATGTGGTGATGGTTGACAAGCCAAATGAAGCCCGATCGATGTACGAGAGGCTTCAATCGCACCAGAACGCTAAAGTGGGCAAGAAAGCAAGGCAATTCATGTTTATATATATATATATATATATATATATATAATTTTGTGAATGTTTTTTTTTAAATATATATATTTTTCATGTTTCGTTAGGGAAACATGGGAACTTCTAAACATCACACGATTTGGACATCTTTCCTGTACATGCAAAATCTACATTCTCAAACTTCTTTACAATTTAATCATTCTCTTAAGCTAAATATGTTTCGTAGGAATTGGAGGGATTACTACTCTCTAATTATTGTATTCGTATAACATCTAATAAACATTGTCTAATACATGTAACTACACGCGTATATGGAAAAAGAGAATTACATGCACAAACGGATGATATTACACGTGCATACGAAATAAGTTATATATCTAATTTTTGCTAAAGCCATAATTACTTTACCTAAATAAATTATATTAATTAGTGAACTTTCAATAATTTTCTATTATTTTTGCATGTATAAAAACGGTATTTGCATGATAAAAAAAAGAAAAGAAAAAGGGTATTTGCCATTTAGGTTGCCATATAAAGTTATTTATTTATTTGTTTATTATTATTTTTTTAAAGAGCTATATGAAGGTAATTTGATGTTTATGTTTATTAAGGCAAAACTGAATATACTTGCACCTTCGGAGCACCACCAATCATGGCTCTCAATTCGATTTCGCTGAGTCGAAAATCCGCAGCTTTTGGAAAGCAACTCTTCACTCCTACTTCAGTTCTCAGGTAACAAAAATATAGTCTAAAATTCTCTTCGCTCTCTTGTCTTGTCTTGCATTGTATTTAACCTTTTACCATTTCCCTCCAAATCCCAGGTGTTATTCTCGTCAAAGAACCAACAACTCCGGCGAAAATGAAGAGAAGAATCAAAATGAAGACGTTATGGAAAAACCCAGACCATCTTCATCAAAAACTAAAAGAGCCAAAGAAATGTCAAGGCTCATCAACACCAATCCATGGTCGACTGACCTCGAGTCTTCTCTCTCCTCACTCTTTCCCTTTCCTCTCTCTAAAACCACCGTGCTCCAAACTCTCCGCCTCATCACCAGCCCTTCCAAAGCCTTCCAGTTCTTCAAGTGGGTCCCGCAAATGGGCTTCTCTCACAACGACCAATCGTGCTTCATGATGTTGGAAATCCTGGGTCGTTCTCGGAATCTCAATGCGGCGCGTAATTTCCTGTTTTCGATCGAGAAAAAGTCTAATGGGTCGGTGAAACTTGAAGATCGCTTCTTCAATAGTTTGATAAGGAGCTATGGCAATGCCGGGCTGTTTCAGGAGTCTGTTAAGCTCTTCTCGACGATGAAAGAACTTGCTATTGCTCCTTCTGTTGTCACGTTTAATAGTCTGTTGTTGGTTTTGCTTAAACGGGGTAGGACTAATATGGCCCGCAATGTGTTTGATGAAATGCTTGGCACGTATGGAGTTGAGCCGGATACTTTCACTTTTAATGTTTTGATTAGGGGATTCTGTATGAACTCAATGGTTGATGAGGGGTTCCATTTTTTCAAGGAAATGTCGCGGTTTAAGTGCGAGCCTGATGTCGTTACGTATAACACGCTCGTTGATGGATTGTGTAGGGCAGGAAAGGTGGATATTGCGCGGAACGTGGTGAAGGGTATGAGCAAAAAGAGTGTGGATTTGAATCCAAATATTGTTACTTATACGACCTTGATTAAGGGGTACTGTGGGAAACAAGAGATTGATGAGGCTTTGCTTGTTCTGAAGGAGATGACTGAGAGAGGGTTGAAGCCGAATGGGATAACGTATAATACGCTGATAAAGGGCCTCTGCGAAGCGCAGAAGCTAGATGATGTAAGAAAGATTTTGGACGGAACAATGAGGAGGGGAGAGTTTGTTCCCAATACGTGTACGTTCAACACGTTGATTCACACACATTGCCAAGCTGGGCGCTTGGACGAAGCATTGAAGGTGTTTGAGAAGATGTTGGAGTTGCAGGTTCTGCAAGATTCGGCTACATACAGTGCTTTGATACGCAGTTTGTGTCAACGAGGGGACTATATTAGAGCAGAGGAGTTGTTTGATAAGTTATCAGATAAGGAAATCTTGTTGAGTGATGATGGTTGTAGGCCTATTGTTGCTGCTTATAACCCGATGTTCGAGCATTTATGCAGAAATGGGAAAACCAAGAAGGCCGAGAGAGTTTTTAGGCAGTTGATGAAAAGGGGAACTCAAGATCCTCCATCTTATAAGACTTTGATCATGGGACACTGTAGGGAAGGTACATTTGAAGCGGGGTATGAACTGTTAGTCTTGATGTTAAGAAGAGATTTTGTGCCCGATGCTGAGATTTACGAGTCTTTGATCACTGGTCTTCTGCAGAAGGATAAGCCTCTTCTTGCAAAGACAACTCTAGAAAAGATGCTAAGAAGCTCCCATCTCCCTAGAGCGTCTGCTTTCCATTGCATACTCGAAGAGCTTCTCAAAAAGGGTTGTGCTAAGGAATCCGCCAGTTTTGCTACGTTGATGTTGGAGCAAAAATTTAGACAAAACATCACTCTCTCGACAAATCTTATTACTCTACTTTTCAGTAATGGACTGGGAGATAAAGCATTTGAGCTTATTAAGGTGCTTTATGAGAGTGGATATTCTGTAAAAATCGAAGAGTTGGTTAGTTTCCTTTGCCAGAAAAGTAAGCTGTTAGAGGCTTGTAAGTTATTGCAATTCAGTTTGCAGAAGAATCAAAGTGTTGGCATTGAGATATTCAATAAAGTTATTGGTGGCCTTAGTAAAATAAGAAGAGTTTCTGAAGCATTTGATTTATACTATAAATTAGTGGAGAAAGGAGTTCATCATCGGCTGGTCTGCTTAGAGGATTTAAAAACTGCTCTAAAGCTTGCGGGACGATCAGCTGAAGCCGATTTTGTATCTAAAAGGATGCCTAAAGACCAACTTCTTAGCGCATCTGCTCCAAAATTTTGCTCTGGGAAGTCAAAGGCCTAAAATAAATGAGTTCTTTTTTTTTATTTTTTATTTTTTTTTTATTTTTAATGAACCATTTTGAAAAGTAAACAATGCAACAAGAAGAATTTATTTATTTAGTTGTTTTATTTTTTTTAAGTAAAAAAATTGTTCTCCATTTAGATTGTCAAGTTTATCCCACTGATATCTTTTTCTTTACAGATTGTCAACTTTATTTGACTGCAATCCGGCACTAGAGATGAAATTTTTAAGGGACTTGCAATTCAAGGGGTTATTTTTGTATTTCCAAAGAATGCAAGGCTGAACATTGCATTTAATTTAAATAAATGCAGGGGAGGATTTTATAAAATTTCCATTTTTAAGTGTTTTATGAGTTAAATGATTTTGTTTATTTTCATGTGGTCCTGTTGCTTCTTCAACTTGGCAGTGGTGGGAGTGAAACCAAACGACCCTTTTCCAATCCCTCCTTCCCAAGAACACCATGTTAGAGCGGTGCCTTACTTGTTTAACATGTGAAGATAATCCAGAAACTATAAGTGGACGTTTGGTTCATGTATTCAGAATCATGATTCAAAACCATTTTCGTTTTACGTGTGTTTTTTATGAGAGAAAAGCACTGTAGAGAACCATGAATCATGATTCAGAATCATAAACGAATACATGAAACAAACATCCTCTAAATATAGATCTTCATACAAACTCCCTTTGCGCCTTGATGCCTTCTTTAATGAATCATGGTGTTTTTTTGTTTTTTTTCATTTTTAGGGAATGGTTTTTATAATTGGGTTACCAAAAAAAGAAATATCCTAAAAGTCACAAGTACAACCCCATCAGCCCAAAAAATACTAAACCATAACAAATCATGAAATCCTATCTTTACATGAAGGTCTTTGAATTTAGTGCAAACCAAAATCTCTCCAAGAACCAGCGAAGCTCTTCCCATTTATATTGCCCCACACTGGTGTATGAAAAAGGGAGAAAAAGAGAAATATGTTAAGACTTGAGATGAATTAAAATTAATAGGCCAATAGTTTACATAAGTTAATAAATAGGCCAAATTACTGTTTTCGTCAATAACTTATATGGTTATGAATCATAACTTGACAAGTTATTGTCCATAATTCACGGTTTTTGTCCAAAACTTGTCTGGCTATAAACCATAACTTGACAAGTTTGTCCATAACTTATCTGGTTATGAACCATAACTTGACAAGTTATGGCCTATTAATTTCTATAACTAAAAATTGACCTATATACTTTCTTAAGCTTTTCATATTAGCATATTTTCTACTATTTCCCTATGAAAAATCCCACTAAGCTTTTCATCTAATCAGAAACCAAACTACATTTTGCTTAACAAAACCATCCTAAAGAAAAGATGTCAAGAGTTGAAGGCAGTGAAGCTCCGAGGCCTAGGCGCATTGCATGGGGAAAGCGACTATTCTTGCAATAGGCAATGCCTTCCCTAGCCAACTCATTCCTCAGGAATGCTTGGTTGAAGGCTACATTGGGGACACAAATTGCCAAGATGCCTCCATTAAGGAGAAACTGGAGCGCCTGTGTAAGCTTAACTACTCACTTTCTATCTAGTAATTAGCTTGGAAATTATCTAGCGCGTTTGTAACTCGTTTCAAAATGATTTTGTTTTTTATACGAAAATGAAAATGAAAACGTTTTCAATCTCAGACAAAAATCATTTTTAAAAATACGTTTGGTGATTTTATTAAGATATTGTTTTCAGTATAAAAAAAAAATTCATTAATGTCTTTCTTTCTCTCTGCTTGAGAGAGGAGAAAACGAAAACAAAAAATAAAAAACGACTAAAAGTCATTTTTCATTTCCCTCTCATTTTACGCTAAATTAAAAATCGTTTTCATTTTTATTTTTTGTCTTTATTGCGCCAAACGCCATTTTAAGAACGTTTTCATTTTTTTCTCAAAAAACGTGAAAAATAAAAACAAGATCAATTCTAAACACAGTCATCATTTCACTACTTTATATGTTGGGAAAATTTTTGTAGTACTATCATGGGCATCTTTGGGATTGATTGATTTCAGAGGGTTGTTTTTAGATTATGAAATAATTTGGCATGGAATTAATGGTGTGATTACTTATTTGTTTGTATGGATTTAATGGCAAAATAAAACTATAAAACGTTTAGAGAACGATTGATTCCTATTGTTAGCATTTACTTATTAGGAATTAAAATTAAAAACAGTGCCATTCCGATTCAAGCATTGACTTGTTTTACGAATAGAAAATTACTAAAATATCCTTGTGTCTGTAAAATTTAGTAAAAGTATATGAAATGATTCATTTCAATTCAAGAGGAGCATGACAGAAGTTGATCCTCAAAATCCAACTTCAATACCATATATATTTTTCAAGTTCTTTCAGTATTCCTAACCTCTTTTTATCTAGATTCTCTTAGATTTTTTAATTAAAGTTATTTTGTCGTCGATTATTTTATTGCTATTGTACGTTTCTAAATTTTAAATTTCACAAGAATCAAATCAGATTTAAGTGACTAATAGTGAGCCGGATTGAAACCACTTATATTATCTTAACCTATTTGTTTAAGATTGGTGGGGCCTACTACTACTTTAACATTTTATTTTTAAAAACTTATAAATGTGACACAATCTAATTAAAGATAATTTAGGATTTCTACACTATACCATATTGTAATATCGGTGTAGCATAACTTTTACCTATAACAATGACTTTAAAACCATGTAAAATATTAATTCATTACTTGCCCCAATTCAAATAGTATTTCACTAATTATGAACGTTGTTACCAACCTGCGGCCTTTTTTGGGTTGTTTGATTGGAGCATTTAAAAGTTTAAACTCATATTTAGGTTCAAACATCTATATGTTTAAACCCGTGGTTATATTATAAAAAGTAAAAAAACGTTTGAACCATTGATATAACATTTGTGAACCCAAAATTCTCAAGAAATAAAAGGATTTATGAACCTATGTCCTCTTTGGGTTCTCAGGGTAAACCTAACACTAGTCAAATCCAAAAGGTTCAATTTGAACTTCATTACCAAACAAATCTTAAACATTTTTTAGAGAAAAAAATGCTACAGTAGAATCAAAATTATAAGAGTCCGTTTAGTTCGTTAATTTAAATTGAGATGTGACTATATGAAAATTTTTTACTATAATAAAAAAATTAAATGTAATTTTTTAAAAATTTTTTACTATAAAAAATTTAAATTTTAAACTCAAATGAGTGTAATAAAATGTGTTTAAATTTAAAGCATGAATTAAACGGCTCTTAAATCCCGTTCAACCACGCCCTGAAACACCACGCGCAGAGTGGACAAAATTTGACAGTGAAATCTTACGGGTCAGGTGGTAGCGGATGTGTGTCGTACCTGATGAATCCTGACGCAAACTGGTGGTGAGGTGGAGCCCATTTTACGGGTACGACCTGGGGACAATGGTGGCGCGTGTGCCGTCGCGTGGGACACCTGCTCGATGACACAACGTACAAGTGGGGCTGGTTTTACAGAGAGAGAGAGAGAGAGAGAGAGAGAGAGCGAAATAGAAAGAGGGCAGTTTTGTTTTGCTGTTTTTTGTATTTTTGGTGTGTCTGGAGATGGACACGGGAATTACTTCGGAAAAATTCCTCCGACATGCGTGACGCGCTTTTGGCGTAAACACGTAAACATATATATATATATTTTTTTGCTTGGAAAAACACATGAGCATTTAATAATTCATCTGTCCGTATAAACAAGTAATAACGAACGCAAAATAGTAAAAGGAAAACTAAAAATTAATAAAATAACAGATAAGATAAGGAGGGGATACTGGCAAGTGCACTCGAGATTGGAACTCGTGGCAGGAACGCGCCTTTGTTGGGGACTCATCGTTCAATTCGAGCTGAGATGTGATATTTTTTAAGAATTTTTTACCGTAACAGAAAAAATTAATGTGATATTTTTTGAAAATTTTTTACTGTAAAAACTTAAAACTCGAATCGGTTAAATAAATGAGGTCTACAGACAGTAAACAAGTGTGTAGTTTTGGGGGACCTAAGATCATCAGGTTACCAAACAACGCAAAAGTCATTGAATGAAGTTGGATATTTATGAGCCCCACGAAAAAGCAAAGGGGTAAAGTTCGTTTGTGTCACTTCCCTTGTGTTATTATTATTATTATTTTTTTTTAGGAGTCCTCTTTCCCAGTATTTTTTGGCCCGATTAATTTTACCGATTTGAGTTTAGAATTTGAGTTTTATTACAGTAAAAAGTTATCAAAAACAGTCACATCTAACTTTTTTACTACAGTAAAAAATTCTCACATAAAATCACATCTTAACTCAAATTAAAAACTCAAATCAGCGAACTAAACGTGTCTAAAATTTTTTTTTTATAACCGGAAGAAAATAGTACTTTCTTTATAATAATAAAAAAAATCTTAAGCTCGAAGCATGAAAAGAAAATACCTTTTATTAGTGTTGAACATCACTCCTTAATAAAAAGTGAATTTTAAGAGTGAGATTTATAGTAAAATTTACTTTTTATTAGTGATAATGTCTAATATAGATAGTGCCTCAAAACCTTTTTAAGTTAAAATATTAGATCTCATTTATTTCACTGATTCGAGTTTTCAGTTCTAAGTTTCTACAGTAAAAAGTTCTCAGAAAATGTTACATCTAACTTTTCCTGCTATAGTAAAAAACTCTCAAAAAATATCACATCTCAGTTTGAATTAAAAACTCAAATTCACAAAGTGAACGAGGCCTTAATGTTTACTCTTTTGTCCCATCACCATCAAACCTCTTTAATTTCTCTTCCTTGCGAGATTTTTTTAGTAGAATATACGGAACAATAAATAGTTTTCTTTATAGTATATTTTTCTCCTGAAAACACGTTCGCAATCTTGTTTTTGTTTTTATATTATTTTAAATTTGTACAATATGCGAGATTATTATATTATATTATATGTTTTGCAAAATAGCTAAGCAAGCAATAGATTGCTCAAGGGTGAGACTCAAACTAATGAGCTCTACATAAAAATTGCATAATTATACTCAATGGGGATTTTAGTTTTGTTGTGGAAATTTAGCAAAAATACCAGAGCCCCAACGGACAGTAGGTAGTAGTATGTCGCTAACGTAACCCGCTGAGGGCAGAGGGGAGAAGGGAGGGGTTACCGCCAAGGGCAGAGCAGCTCCGGCGGCAATGGAGGGCGGAAACCTTGATACGATGGTCCCCCCGCCTTGCAAGGTATATCTCGAACGACAGGTGAGAGCATCAGATTTGAAAAAGTAAACACTAGAAGTAGATGACATTACATTCATATAAAATTTTGAGAATGAAAGAACTTTTAAGTAATGGTAAAAACAAGTCCAAGGATTTTTTTTTTTCTTTGTGGCATTTCTTCTAGTTATCTACAAAAGTCAAATCACTTTTCTTCCTTTCTTTGTCTTTGTTCCCAAATATTTACAAGTCATATTACATGCTGGGAATGGACTAAAGCTAACCCACTTGTCGTCTCAAAAAGTGACAACTCAATGGACATTACAGGCAGTGAAATGGTATGAAGATTTCACTATTTGGCAAATCATTTCAAAGCTTTTCTTCCAACTCCAATCTCACCAGCATGTCGCAATTTCGATCTCGGTGTATATTTCCCCTTTGTTGGCTTCTTGATCTTCCTCATCCTCCCAAGTCCACCATTTTTCTTTATCTTCTCCAACTTCTGTTTCCTCCCCTCTATGTCAGCTTCAATAGCTTTTGTTCTCTTTTCATCTGATAGCATAGCCAACCGGGAAAATTTCTTAGGCCTCACAATTCCGAGCCTCTCAGTTACCTCCTTGAATGCAGGAACAAGACCGCGCCTCAGAAAACAACCTTCCATAAGCTGCATTGAGTTGTATTCAGGCAGAGATGGAGCATCTTTCAACTCAAGGTCTAAACAGAACGGCGAGTCTTTTAGCCACAACCTGAGGGAGTGTGCCTTAGCTACAAGGAGACCCGTTCGCGTTCTACAAGGGAGAAAAGGGGATCCCATCTCCCACAGACAGGCCTTTAGTGTGCTATTAAGAGAAATAGAGTTGTACTCCGACGTTCCTGTTATCAAGACAACTGATTTCGGAGATTCCGGGTAGCCTTGCAGGGATGCATCCTGCATAAGAGGAGATTTTGTGTTAAGGACTCACAAACAAGTAGCATCCTAACAACCGATCAATCATTTCTTATTTGAAAGTTAAAAAACAAGTAATATTGATAATGATACAAGGCTAAACTTCTAATACCACTATCAACAATAATGGTCATGAACAGTATCCCAAGAGCACGTTTACTTTACCCGATTGAAAAGGGAAAACACTTCTCTAATTATGTAGAAGGGCATTTGAGTACTGAAATTAGTACTGAAATTGATAAGATTTCTATTCTAAAATTTAGTGAACACTAGAAAGAGATTATTTCCTGTTCTATTCTAATCAAAATAAATATGTCGACACTAGAAAGGGAATGATCCTAATTTTTATGCTTCTTCTTCTTCTTCTTCTTTTTTTCCCAAACTCATTAATTACTTTTCAATTACGGTTTGGTATAATACAACATGCCCTAAAAGAGAAGAAGTTATAATAGAAAAATACAATATTACTCCCAAAATATATATTTAGAAGGAATCATTTCCACTGAAACAGAGTAATGAGAAAGAGTACATACCTGCATGTGATCAAGCCATAATGTAAGACCAACAAGCGCAGAACCAGCCGACAACTTTCTAAAATCAGCTCCCCAATCCTTGTCAGCGACCCTTCATTTTAGAAGATAATAAAATATGAGCAAATCAATGAAAATAGAAAGTTACACTATAAGAGAAACGACCATCATTTCTTTTCTCTCCAATTTTCTGAGCATAGTAACAGCTTTGCAGTTTACAACTTTTTTTTATTAAAAAAAAAAAAAAAAAAACAACCCAAAAGCAAAAGCAAAGACTCTTTCAACTGCAACATATAAGCCAATTCATTTAAAAAGATCCATATATCGTTTATTTCAAAGAAAAAAAATAATATCTATTTTATAGCATTGGTAAAATTATAATGATAAGATTTGGAAATTGGAAATTGTTCATGTCAAAGAGCAGCTACCTGAACAGATCATGCCGGTAGATGCCTCTCTTGATTGCCAGTTGGTAAACCCATGAAGCCGTTGCTCGGAATTCAAATGCCCACAACAGATCCTCCAAAGCATTGACAAAGTTAAACGCCGCATCGTCTTCTAAAGGTCCTAGCTTCTCGAGACATTGATCCACCTCTGAAATTAGTGATTCAGATTTTTCTGTCAAAATCCTACCAGAAGAAAGAAAGAAAATTCATAAATGGTTCCACAAAAAACACATGTTGTAAAAGAAAAATATAACTATAGGACTGGCAATTCGTGTTCGGTTGTTGTGTTTGGCCCGACATGTTTATGGCACAACACAATTAGCCTAGAGACGAACATGACACAACTCGACACACATACACGTTTATTAAACCATGTATTACCTTATTGGAAGATCAAATCCAGTATCGCTTAGAGCATTCAAGAGGGTAAAAGCTTCACTTGTACGCTGACACAAACTAGCAGCTCTAATAAAGCACGTCCATATTCTATGGTCTGGCTCTAAACCCTCTTTTTCCATGTCTTTGAGCTTTTGAATTGCAACGTTATAATCTCCATTCTTGAGATAAGCATCAATAACAGAACTGTAAGGTAATGTATTGAGATTTAAACCAGTTTCTTTCAAATCTTCGAGCACTTTTTCAGCTTCCCCAGGCTGTCCGGAGCCACCATAAGAAACCATAAGCAAGTGCATTGTGGCAAAATTGGGTTCCATACCAGCCTCTTTCATCATGGTCACCAGCATTTCCGCTTTGGATGGGTTTTTTGAATTCCTGAACACTTTAATCATTGTATGATAAAATGAACGATCCAACTTACGTCCATTTGACCTCAATTCTTCGAAAAGCTCCTCAGCTTGATCATACAGTTGCTGCTTACTAAATGCTGAAATCAGGCTTTTGTAGGTGTCCAACTTAGGTTCCAAGCCCTGATTTCTCATTTCACGCATTAGAGATAAACCTTCTTCTGGTCTACTGTCTTTGCAGTACATTATTATTAGAGTATTATAAGTATCCTCATCTGGGCTTAGACCAGCTTCTTGAATTTGTTGGTACACTTCAACAGTCTTTCTGAAATTTTCAATCGACGAGTACAACTTTAGCACAGAATTCCATATCGAGAGATCAGGCTTAAATCCCGCCTCTTCCATCTCAGACACCATGGCCTCGACATCCCTGACTCGTTTTACCCTGCACAACAACCTGATCATAACCCTATAAAGATTCATGTTGGGCAAATAACCAGCAGCTTTCATTCCGTCGTATATTTTCCTCACCTCAAACACATCGCCAGCTCGAGCAAATGCATCGAGCATCATGAGAATTGAACTTTTGCTTATCTTGAATCCCATATCTTGCAGCTCCTGGATTACCACATAAAGCTCATCCAATCTCCCATCAACAATTAAAGCTTGCAATAAACCGTTAATAGAATCTACAGTCGGCGTGGGGCCATCCCTCATCATTGTATTAAAGATTGCTCTGGCTCTCTCATAGCAACCACTTTCAGCATAAGCTTGTATCAGCGCATTCCACACCTTCCTATCGACTTCTGTGTGTCTTTGTCTGAGACGTCCCACCAAGCTCTCTGCTTTCTGCCACAGCTTGACTTTCCCATACTCTTCAATAACACTGACATAAACAGCAACACTGTCGAAAATGAAGCCTTTTGCTTCCGCCTGATCAATCAAATGATGCGCTGTCTCGGGGAAACCCATTTTACAATATGTGAGCGCCATGGTCTGATAAAGAAGTTTGGATAATTCAACACCAAAGAATCTCATGTCGGAAAAAACCTGTGAAGCATCACCAAAGAGCTCGTTCTCTTTACAGCCTTGAATCATGGATTCATACATGATAGAACTCCTGCTAAAAGAATGGAATCCCTTAGTTTTACCGTATTCCTCCAAAGCAGCTTGAAATTGACGAGCCTTGCACAGTATGACAACAAGTGCTTCAGCTATCAGTTGATTGGAACCAGGAGCATGTTCTCTCAAGAATTCAAGCAACTCCTGTGCTTCGGAGTGCCTTCCGGATGAACTATACGAGCTAAGAATAGATAACAGATTTTCCCGGTCTAGTTCATAGCCACTGGTGATGGCAAGTCTCAAAAGTTTAGCAGCTTGGTCATAGCATTCCCCCTTGACAAGAATTGAAGAAATAACTTGTGGGTTCTTGCCGCAAAGCAATTCCATGTCTCTGATCACTTTCTCTATGGCGTCCGATTTGTTTTCCCTCCCAAGTACTCGCACCATGACCCCGTAAAGGCCATTATCTGGAATGAAACCATCACGTAACATTTCTCGATACAACGCCATTGCCTTCTTTGTCTCATTGAACCTCAAAAACATATCCAACATAACTGAATATGCTATTTGATCGGGTCTAATTCCAGACCTAACCATGCAATCAAAAGTCTTCTGAGCATCGACTTGCATACCAGCCTTGGCATATCCAGAAATTAAAGCGCTATAGGTTCTCAATGTGGGTTTAACTCCTGCATCCAACATTCCCGACATGACATTTGCTGCCTCTGTAATCTTATTAGCTTTCCCAAGCGAGTCGATCAAGACTGTGTACGTAATAGCATCAGGAGTCCGGCCTGCCGTTTTCATGTCCCTATAAAGCTGAAAGGCTAAATCATGCTGCCCCTGCTTCCCATACATGTGGATCATTGTATTATATGTCATTTCATCTTTACCAAAACCCTTTTGCACCATATCTTCACATATCTCCTTCACTTTCTCTACATTCCCATCTCTAGCAAAAGCATATAACAAAGAATTATATGTCACTGCATCAGGGAGAAACCCCCTAGACTCCAATTCCTTAAAGAGCTTATCCGCTTTGCTTGGCATTCCACACCGCCCAAACACTGAAATCATGGCATTATAAGTCCAAAGATCAGGCTGACAATGATGCCGCACCATGTCCTCAAAAACCTTAGTCGCCTCCTCCAAGTTGGATTCGCGCGAACACCCACTTAGAAGAGTGTTATAAGTAATAATATCCGGTCTGAGACCCGACCTTCTCACCTCATCCAAAAGCTCAATAGCCAAATTCGGCGCCATAGCACCTGACTTCAGACGTGCATTTATCAATGTATTGAAACTCACAAGGTCCGGCTCACATCCTCTCTCGCGCATTAAATCGAGCAACTCGTGAACCTTATCGAATCGACCAGCTCTCGCTTGAATACCCATCATGGCATTGTACACTTGGACAGTATTACCAATATCAGGCTCAGCCCTTGTGAATATCTCGATGGCTAATCCCACCTGATTAGCCTTTCCAAGGACCGCCAAAATGGTGGCGAGCATCCGGGGATTCGGAGAGTACCAATGGCGCAAATTCAGCCACTCGTAAACCTCCAAAGCCCTATGCCAACTTGCCTGGCCAACCCACTTCACAACAAAGCAAAAATCAGTGGGAGTCATCTGAACTTTCCTATCATCCAGAACATCCGCCACAAACTCATCGGATTTCAACCCCAAAATCCTATCAGTCAAATACTTCACTCTTTCCCTCCAGTCTTTGGCTCTTTTAAGCGCCAATTTGTTCATTTTCTTGACCCTCGTCCTGCTAGGCCTCCCTAAAACTTGTTGGGTCTCGTCATTTTCATCCAAAGAATCTAAACTCCTCAAATTATCGGCTTTCTCAGTACTTTCAGAATCACGGGTCAGTTCAGGAGAGACAATTGTGAACTGGGTCTGTGGTGATTGGTCATAACTTTCACTAAGTTTCATGTCTGGCCATCTCACAGATGGTGAAGCTCTACTGTAGCTAAATTTTTGGGTATTTTTATCAAAACTAATAGAATCGCTTAGTGGCTCAGCATTAGAACTAGAACAAGAACTAGCAGAAGAACAAGTTGTTGGGATTGAAGAGCAAGAGAAAGAAGTGGGTCTGTGTACCTTAGAAGAAGAAGAAGAAGAAGATGATGATGATGATGAAAATGAGTCTTTATGAAGGATTGGTGAAGATACAGACGACACAACTCCTGTGAACGCCATAACTGGCTGAAGATTTGAGATTATCTCATTCTCATGTTGCAGAGTTTTTGGGGAGGCAAGATATTACAGATATTTCTGGGCTGGCTGAAGATTTGAGATTATCTCTTTCTCATGTTGCAGAGTTTTTGGGGAGGCAAGATATTACAGATATTTCTGCTTTGTATTGGCGGGGAGAGGAGAAACTTTTTCACTTTATATCAAGTACAGTGGGCTGGATAGGCCCTTAAAAACTTTGTGGGCCTACAGTGGCCCAGCCAGTAAAAGGACTGGGATTTTGTAGTACTAGTGTGTAGGAGGGA